GTGTCGCGCTGCCGGTTTTGCTCCGCCGCGCATCGGCGCGACATGCCGGCCACGTCCCGGTCCCCAAGCCGTCAACGTCCCACACCTGTCCGTGCATGCCGCCCCGCGGAGCGGAGCGGCACGCTGCCCGTTTGCCTGACGCGGTTTGTCGCGGGGGCCGCCGTGGCGACACGCCAAGCAACAGTTCCCGGCCGTAGCCTCATCCTTTTGCAGCTGCCGTCTATTAGTTCGTCCTCACCTGTACCGTCGCTGCTCGGGGCCACCTCGCCTAAGCCTGGCACTTCTCGAGGTTCTGAACCCTTCGGACAGGACGCAACGGTACCACAGGCAGTGCCTGTGCAGCGTAGGGAGAAGGAGGAGGAGGAGGAGGAGGAGGAGGAGGAGGAGGAGGAGGAGGAGGAGGAGGAGGAGGGGGGGAGGAAGGGGAGGAGGGGGAAGAGGAGGGGGGAGGCAGGAGGAGTCGGAGTCGAGTAGGAGGAGGAGGAGGGAGGAGGAGGAGGAGGAGGAGGAGGAGGAGGAAGAGGAGGATGAGGAGAGAGCAGCAGAAGGAGGTGGAGGAGCAGCGTGGAGCGTGCAGCGTATGAGCTAGGAGGAGGGGGGAGGAGGAGCGTGGAGCGAGGAGGAGTTGGAGGAGCATGGAGGGAGTAGCCAGGAGCGAGCAGCGTAGAGCGTGGAGCGAGAAGCGCAGAGCGAGGGGCGCAGAGCGGGGAGCGGGGAGGGAGGATAAAGGGGGAAGGCCGCCCTCGGGCGAGCAGCGATCGTTGACTGAACATGGGACCGTCCGCAAGCGTGATCCTCCTCCTCCTCCTCCTCCTCCTCCTCCTCCTCCTCCTCCTCCGCCTCCGCCTCCGCCTCCTCCTCCTCCTCCTCCTCCTCCTCCTCCTCCTCCGCCTCCTCCGCCTCCTCCTCCTCCTCCGCCTCCGCCTCCGCCTCCGCCTCTGACCAGAGGGCTGAAACATGTGGCCAACGACGGAGACCAGTCGCCACACCGTCGCATCTCGCGGGCGATGTCCCAGCCATGCGAATCGGTGACCTCGGGGAAGCACGAGAACTTAATCCCAGAAGGCCGACTCGGCCTCGGAAACAAGAGGCTGCGGCGACTCTTGTACCCCCCACCCTTACATCCGACCCCGTCCCCGCCCCGAATGAACGAGAGAGAGAGGTGGAGACGGCGGCAACCTTGCTTTCTCGCCGAGGCTCCTGGCTCGCAACTGAACTGGTGGGCCCGAACATAGGCCCATCTCAGGAGCTCCTGGAGGCGGCCGTACCGCGAGTCTGGCCCCAAGCTCGGCGCATGCAAAGACGACATTCATTGGCTAGGCCTCGCGCGTGCCAGGCAGCGCAAGCCCCGCACAGTCAACTGAACACGAGAAGCCCTGCACGGCGGAGCGCATGCTGCCCCTCGACATCACGACACCTGAGCTGGCGCAACACCGCTCGGGACTTGCCCGAGCGCGTACAGACCACGCACTTGAACCGACGATCAAACTTGGCGACAGCAGAATCATACAGGGAGTGCGGACGAGGAGGACACAAGCTTCCTTCGATCGTGTTCATGGCCTTGCCTAGGCCTGCGGCTGAACATCTCTGGGGGTCTCTGAGGCGATGCGAGCCGCAGCACGAACACAAGAGTGGGCCACCATTTTGATGGCCTGGAAAGACTGCTAGTGGGCTTTGGCTGGCCCATCATTAGCAGGAGTGGGAAGTTTGACCCCAGCTTTGGCAGCCAGGTCGGCTGCGTTGTTACTGCATCGCTGCCACTCAGAGATGATGCCGTCAGCGACAGGAGAAGCATGCAAATGCGCCTTTACGTGCACAACATCCACCCGCTCCACTCCGACGTCCGAAACACGCCTCCAAACATCCCTCCATATCCAAGGCATGAGGTCGCTGGCAGCTGTGCGCGGCCAAGCCTGCCGTTGAATCCCGAACCGTCCCCGATAACATTCACGTCCTGGATAAGATACTCCCAATGACGGGTCAAAATGACGACATCGTCCAAGCATTGATTGGGAACCGATCGCGACGGGTCAGGCACAAACACATGGTCCAGATTCAGTACTGGTCAGCCGAGTCACTGGCTAGTGCTATTCTCTGTGTCGCGAGTTGGTGCTCAGCAGAGTGCTCACGCCTGAACTCGTCATTCACAGGGCAACCAGAGCACCACTGCCAACACGTGTCGTTCAAGCCACGCGCGGGGCATTATGGGCTTATTGCGCCACCAGCTTTGTATAACCTAATGATCTTGCCACCCAAGAACAGCGGCGAACCTACGGGGGAAGTGAGAATGGGCGGGCGTTCTCAGAAGGCTCGGAAGTCCCCCAGCCGTCTGAGAAAGCTTCTAAACCTTCCCAAAGGCACAGAACACCTTTCCAGAAGGAGCGAGGGCTAGTGAGAAGTCCAGCCGCCTTCTGAGAGGGCCTGCTCCTTCTCACTCCCCCCCTCGCTCGCCGCCGAGTTTTGTTGTTTAACTCGGGTCGCCGGCAGCCGTTCGGGACGATCCGGGCACCCCCGGGAACGCCCGCGGCGAGGCGCAGCTGCTGGCAAGCAGCCCGAGGCTGGAAGACCTCCGCAGGCCGACGAGACGTCCGACAACTTCGAGCCTCGAGCCCGAGACCTCCCCGCCTCGCCCGCGGCTGACAAAAGCCCCCCCGCAGGAGAGGCATCTGAGGAGCCCTTGGTGCTCGAACCTCGAAGTTCCCCCCCCTCGCTCGCTCGCCGAGCCGAGGGGTGCCTCTGGCGGCAGGCGCTGCCTCCTCCCCCGCCTCGCCCGCGGCCGAGAAAAGCCCCCCCGCAGAAGAGGCATCTGAGGAGCCCTTGGTGCTCTGGGGTCCAGTCGGGTTCCCCCCCGTCGGGTTGACCCCAAAGGGGGTCCAGCGACAGGGGGGTGGTGCAACAGATTTGGTGCAATGGACTTGTGCGTCGTGCAGCAGATGTGGGGCGTGCAGCACACTGCAGGGCGCATGATGAATGTGCAATACAGTTGCCCAAAATCTATTGCACCACCCTCTCTCAGCTGGACCCCCTCTTGCTTGGCATCGCTCGGACGTGTGCACCTTTCCTTCGGCGAGGACCATCGAGGAGCATCCTTGATCATTTGGCCAAAGAAAATAGACCACGCACGAAACCGAAAAAAAAACCCAGGGAATGGACGCCCGAGCGATGGCCAGTTTGGGCCGCCCGAGCTCTATAGGAGCAGGAGGGGGCCAGAGGGGGGCTCGAGGACCATCGAGGAGCATCCTTGATCATTTGGCGAAAAAGCCACGCACGAAGCCGAACAAAAACACAGGGAATGGACGTCCGAGCGATGGCCCGTTTGGGCCACCCGAGCTCCAGGAGCAGGGCGAACAAGCCACCCCTCGGCTCGGCGAGCGAGCGAGGGGGGGGGAACTTCGAGGTTCGAGCAATGGGGGGGCTTTTCTCGGCCGCGGGCGAGGCGGGGGAAGTCTCGGGCTCGAAGCTCGAGTCTTTCGGGCGTTTTCGTCGGCCCGCTGCGGTCTTCCAGCCTCGGGCTGCTTGCCAGCAGCTGCGCCTCGCCGCGTTTGTTCCAGGGGGGGCCCGGACCGTCCCGAGCGCCCGCCGGCGACCCGAGCGGTGGCCCAAGAGGCAAACTCGGCGGCGAGCGGTGGGGAAGCGAGAAGGAGCAGGCCTCCTCGGAAGGCGGCTGGGCTTCTCAGAAGTCCTCGCGCCCTCTGAGAAGCTGTCTGCGCCTCCCCGGAAGGCTTAAGAGAACGTCGCAGAAGGCCTGGGGGACTTCCGAGCCTTCTGAGAAGGCCCGCCCCTTCTCACTTCCCCCGTAGGTTTGCAGCCGATCGGTGGCCTCGGCAGCCAGCCGCGGCCCGTGTCTTTGTTTGGCGACATCTGCTCAACAAAACGCACTAGCATGTCGAGTGCTCCAGGACACTGGATCTGCAGTCGGCCTCGATTAGTAGGTTGGCCCTGCCAAATCAAGGGTGCCCTTGTGTCCTGTGTCTCGCGACCCATGCCTCCTGCATTCCTATGGCAACGTGGCCCTGTGTCCGCGCTCACAGGAAGGGGCTCGACAACGAGCAACCTTCCAGAAGAAACCCGGCCCTGGACGGCCCAAGGCGTCACGACACAGGGTCCTCCTCCTCCTCCTCCTCCTCCTCCCGCGTGTCCTGTCCAAATCATGTCCGGCTGTAGGGCAGGCCGCCCACGCCTAAGAGCGTCGTGTCCACAGGGGCCGAGGCGGGCCCCTGGACGTTGGACCACACGCGAGGCTCAGGGATCTGAGACAGCTTAGCCCAAGCACCGCTCAGCAAGCGATGCATGCCAGAACGGGGCGGCGGAGGAGGAGGAGGAGGAGGAGGAGGAAGAAGAGGAGGAGGAGGAAGAGGAGGCGGAGGAGACGGAGGAGACGGAGTGAGGTTTTCGACGCTACGAGCTTCGCTCAAAGTTCACCCAACGGAAAAGAGAGGAGCGAGGATTGCGGAGCGTGTGAGAGCGATGCGGATGAGGAGGAGGAGGAGGAGGAAGAGGAGGAGGAGGAGGAGGAGGAGAAGAGGGAGGACAAGGAGGAGGAGGAGGAGGAGGAGGAGGAGGCGGAGGAGAAGGAGTGAGGTTTTCGACGCTACGAGCTTCGCTCAAAGTTCACCCAACGCAAAAGAGACGGTGGAGAAGGAGGAGGAGGAAGAGAAGGAGGACCAGGAGGAGGAGGAGGAGGAGGAGGAGGAAGAGGAGGAGGAGGAGGAGGAGAAGGAGGGGGGGAGGGGGAGGAGGAGGAGGAGGAGGAGGAGGAGGAGGAGGAGGAGGAGGAGGAGGAGGAGGAGGGAGGATAGGACGAGGAGGATGAGGAGGAGGAGGACGAGGAGGAGGTGGAGGAGGAGGAGGAGGAGGAGGACGAGAACGAGGAGGAGGAGGAGGAGGAGGAGGAGGAGAAGCGAGGAGCGAGGAGCAAGGTGCGAGGAGCGAGGAGCGAGGAGCGAGGAGCGCAGAGAGGGTGGGGAGGGTGGAGGAAGGCCGCCCGGCGCGGGACTCAGGTGGGTGCGCGGCGGTCCCGCCGAGTTCCAGCAGATGCGACCTTCGCCCGCCACTCCTCGCGCGCGATGGACAGAGCCAGTCGCGGGCGCCCGGGCCACTTCGGAGCTTAGCTGTTCTGATACTCAGAGCGTGAATTACCTACCCCGGTTTCGCTTCCAGGAAAAAACAAGTCATACCACGCGCCTCGTGATGAAGCGACCTGACCAGTACAGGCCGTAGTTTGGCATCGCTTGGTATCTCTTGGAAGCGAGGGTGGTCAAAAGCGAGGTAGGTTTGTTTCCCCCTAGGTACGCCCGTGCTGGAACGCAACACGTGCCGTGCTCAAGACGTCCGTGTTGACACGTTGCGTGTTGGTTCGGCACGTGTTGGTCCACCCAGACATGCCGACGACTTGAGTTGTGCAATACGCGCTCCCCGGAAGCCCCGATCCATTCCCCGGGGCTGGCTTCTCGTCCTGAGTCCCTCTCTGACGGTCCCAGGGTCCGGCGAGAGCCCCCCAGAGGCCGAGAAGAGCAACCCCCCCGCCCGTCCTGATTTTGCTTCGCGACCGAGGCCTGGCTGGCTTCTGCGCGTGGTTGCCCCCCCCCCCGGCGAAGGCCCCAGGGCCCCTCCCCCCCAGGGCCCCCCCCGAGAAGAGCAACCCTCCCGCCCGTCCTGGTCTTGTTTCACGACCCAGGCCCAGCTGGCTTCTGCGCGTGGCTGGCCCCCCCCCCCCGGCGAAGGCCCCAGGGCCCCCCCCCCCCCCGAGGCTGGGCGCGGGGCCCTGGGCGCTCCGCAGAGCTTTCTGAGGCTGCCCCGGCATATCGCACGCCGCACGCAGCGTGCTGGCAAGGGGCTCGGGATGAAAATCACCGAGCGCGTCCCACTGTTCGCAAAGTGCCGACTCGCAAACGTCCACAGAGACGAGCGTTGTTCGGAGAAGGAAACGCCATAAACATAAACTTTTGGCGCTGCGCGAGGATTTCTTGGATCCACGCTGGGCCCCCCTGGCGGCGGCGGCGGCGGCGGCGGCGCCTCCGGCGCTGCCCCTGGCGCGCTCCGCGCGCCAGGGAGGGGGTCCATCGCAGATCCAAGAAATCCGCGCGGAGCGCCACAAACATATGTTTATGGCATTTTTTCTTCTTCTAGTTGTTCGATGCAATGGAGCCTCTGTGCCTCGGCGCAATGGATCCAAGCCATTTGCGAGCAGCTCTGCGAGTGATGGAACGCGCTTGTCTAGAAAAGCTGGACTTCTGGGGGCCGCGCATTAAACAATTCAGGACATCGCATGTCTGTGTGGGGAGAAAGGGGAGTCTAGTCCTCCTAGCTAGATGGGGTCGGATAATCGCGCCGCATCGCCGATGCATCGCCGATGCGGCTCGATGTGAAGCCCGATTTGCTTCATGTCGCTGTCGCCGATGCACTGCCGACCGCGACGATGCATCGCCGGTGCATCGCTGGTGCATCGCCGATGCATCGCCGATGCATCGGCGATGCGGCGCGATCCTCTGGGCCCTGTATCTTCCCGACTCGTACGATACTGTTTTTTTTCCCACTTAGAAACCCTCCTGCTTCTTCTCAGAAGATGTTGGCCTTCTCTGTAGATGTAGGGCCGGCGCCCTCTGAGAGGCAACCTCCTTCTTAGAAGCCTTCCCCCTTCCTCCTTCCCCCTACCCCCTGCCCCCTTGAGCGCGCCGCCAAAGGAGAATAAGGGGAAGAAACAATGATATAAAGAGGAACTCGGAGGTCCGCGCGGATTTCTCGGATCGGTGCTTGACCCCCCTCCCTGGCGCGCGGAGCGCGCCAGGGGTGGCGCCAGAGGCGCCGCCAGGGCGCCCCGGCGCCGATCGAAGGAATCCGCGTTGAGCTCCGATGTTTGTTATGTTTACGTCTTTGTCTGTTCCCCCAATGAAGGCCCAGATCGCCCCTGAGATCCGACGTCTCGAAGAAGTTGAGACGCTGCGAACAATCGCGACGGGAGCCCCAGACCCCACCTTTCTGCGCCAGTTCTCGAGCTGGATCGATCTGTGAGGGCCCTGGGGCCCGAATCTGGGCGAAAAGGCCTGGCTCAAAAAAATGGAGACGCATGGACCTCAGGGTCGGCCAATCGGAGCTCTGCCAGCCGGGGGTCTGTCCTCGGCTGCGGCCCGCGGGCCGCGGGCGATCGGCATGGAGCATCTCCGGGGTGGAGCACCCCCCCCCCGGGAGGCGGTCGGGACCCTGTGGCACCTGTGGTACGCGTGTTGAGAGTCGAGATCGGCAGAGGTCAGAAGGCTCGGCATCGCTCGGACGTGTGCATTTTTTTCCGGCGGGGACGCTCGATGAACATCATGGACCACCTCGCGAAAAATTTGTCGAAACTAACGATGCACAGGGAACGGGCGTCTGAGCGATGGCGAGGGGTGGCGGGGGTAAGGGGAAGGCACGGCCTTTTTGCCGCGAGTGGCCAGAGTATTTGTCCCGATTGGGCGTGGTGCGCGCGTGCGTAAAGATTCGTGCAGGTTCTGGCCGGGAGTGGCCGCGCGTGGTTCTCGTTCTGGCGTCGCTTCCGAATTGCTGAACGTGCTTGAAGTTCGTGCCGCGTCACGAATGTGGCTGAACATGGCTGCTCGTGTCTCACAACGATGTGTTCCCATTGCTACTGCGTGTCTGAGCGTGGCTGTTTTGTTGAAATTGCGCGGGCATGCGCCCATCAAGTTGGGACGACCTAGCAGGAAGGAACCGGAGAGGATTCGAAGACTAGCGCACGGAGAGAGGCCTCGACGCAGTTGCTCCGCACTCCCAGCCTCCCCATTTCCTTTCTGCTAAGCCCCGCCTTCTGCATCTCCCTGCCCCCCCTTCCGCACTCCCCAGATTCCCCATCCAGCTTATGTGCTCTTCCGCACCCCTGCCCAACACGCCCCACTCGTCCCCACTCCTCCAGACTCCCTCCAGTTCCCTCATGCTTCCTGCACTCCTTCCGCTCTTCCTCGCTCCAACCTCCACCGCAATCCTCCCCACTCCTCCCATTTGTCCACATTCATGTGCATTCGTTGTTTCTTCCCGTTCCTCCCCGATAACTCCGAACTCCCTTCCGCTTCTCCGCGCTCCTCGGTCGACCCCCCCCCGCTGTTTCGCGCTCCTCTCCATTCCTCCCCGCTCCTTCCCGCTCCTCCGCACTCCTCTCAGCTCCCCGCCCCTCCCCGTCTTTCGAACTCCTCGGCGCCCTTCCAGATATTCTCAGCTCGCTCCCGCTCCTTCCCCGCTCCTCCGCACTTCTCCCCGCTCCTCCGCAGTACCTTCCGGCCCTCCTCCCGATGCTATCCCCACACACCCCTTTACCCTGACCTTCCAGAGAGCTATTTTTTAGCACTGGAGACCTAAAAACCTAAAAAACTAAACGAAACAGCCTAAAACCAAGACGTAGAATAGCTCTGGGATAGGTTTTTAGGTCGGGTGCTATTTTTTAGCCCTCCTGGAAGGTCAGGGTAGGGTCGCACAGAAGGGGGAGGACTGGGAAAGGAGGGGTTACGACACCTGCTGCATGCAGCCGGTGCCGGCCCCGCAGCCGGGCGCCTCCCTCGATATACGTTAGCGCCCCCGGCGCCGGGAGGCGCTGGGAAAGTCAGCTGCGTGAGCTGAGTTGCTGGCACCCCCTTTGTCGGGCCGGGCGAAAGGGGGGGATTGGGAAAGGGGGGGTCACGAAATCTGCTGCATGCAGCTGGTTTCGGCCTCGCCGAGGGGCCCATTCCTCGATACATGGCCGCCTCCGGCGCCGGGAGGCGCCGGGAGGCGCCGGGAAAATCAGCTACGTGAGCTGATTCTCAAAGCCCCCCTTTGCTATCCCCCCCTTTCGCCCGACCCGATAGACCTCTCCCCTTTGTCCGACCCGACCAGTGCCCTCCCCGCTCTCCCCCTCTGTTTCACCTGTCCTCTTCGCCTTCCCCCCCCTCTCACGGATACCCGTGCTCGGCAGAGCGGGAAGTGCCCCATTGGAAGACAACCGTATGAGAATCCTCAATCATGCCAAACCCGCACTTCCTGGGATTTCAACGCCGCGAATCAATCTAACCGTTGCGCCCTGGCAATCCTAAATTGTGCCAAGACGAACGTGCGCAGCGCTACAGCGATAACTACATGTTGAAAGCTACCTGCCCTCCATCCTTGAAGCTGTTGCCGTGGAAGTCGATTAATGGAGAGGAAGCATGCTGCCAAATAAGTTCCAGATGATTGAACATGTCTAAAACATGTTCTAAATCTGTAAAACACATGTTTGAAACATGTTTAGCATATGTTGTATGCATTTTAAACACATTTGAAATTAAATGGTAGGATTGTTAGAGTGTCCACTGTCATGGCATCCGCAAAGCTGTTGCAAGTTAAAAGTTTCAGAATCACAAGTTGTGAGGAGGTCTTATGCGAGACGCCTGGCCGGCAGGGGGGCGACAAGGAGGAACACATCGTAAGGAAAAGAGATGGAGGAGGAGGAGGAGGAGGAGGAGGAGGAGGAGGAGGAGGAGGAGGAGGAGCGGGAGGAGGAGGAGGAGCAGGAGAAGGAGAAGGAGGAGGAGGAGGAAGAAGGAGAGCACACGAGCGCAGACTGTTCCTGAGGGCCGAAGGGCGTGAGGTGCAGGACGCATCGCGCACACCTGTCCCCGACGACACCCAATGAGAGATGCCAATCTCGGTTGACAACATCTTTCCGCGTGTTCGTCGCGCCTCGTGTGCGTGGGCGTGTGCGTGTGCGTGTGCGTGTGCGTGTGCGTGTGCGTGCGAGTGTGCGTGCGAGTGTGCGTGTGCGTGTGTGTGCGTGTGTGCGCGTGTGCGTGTGTGTGCGTGTGTGCGTGTGTGTTTGTGTTTGTGTGTGTGTGCGTGTGCGTGTGCGTGTGCGTGTGTGTGTGTGTGTGTGTGCGTGTGCGTGTGCGTGTGTGTTTTTGTGTGTGTGTGTGTGCGTGTGGAAGCGAGGGCTTGCTGCTTGTTGCTATACATGGCTAATCGTGGCTGAATATGGCTTTAAGTGCGTCCTGCTAATGTGTTCTTGCCACTCGTGTCGGAGCATGTCGAATTCAGTGTTTAA